CTTGGTTCCCCGAATAGGGAACGAAATGCTGCGATGCTGGCCGTTCCGTACCTTCGATAGCGCTTCCTTCGTAATAGTGTAAAATCTGATGAAATATATATATATGAGCATACGTGACGTATGCTCGGGCGGTGCTAAGCACTATTGGCCAATAAATTGGCGTGATGGTATAAGGGCTTCAGACATTCGTCACACCGGCGGTGTTCCCATAGCGATGACGTCATCGCAGCATCTCATTCCCTATTCAGGGAACCAAGGTGACATAAGGGCCTTTTGCACCGCAGGAACCTTTTCATAGTACCAGAACTAATTGTGGAACTACCCACTTTTTGGCGCTTTCGCACCGCCGGAACTGGGAGCGATTTTAGTACCGGACTGCCTTTTTCGAGAACCAAATTATCTCCTACTCCGGAGCAGGGTCTAATCAGCACAACTGGTACTAATCGTGATGCAAGTAGACACTGATTGGCCAAACGCATACGAAAACGCTCTCACCCGCCATGATTTAAAATGCCGTGTAAACATACTGTAAACATTGTGTCAACTTATTTCGCAAGTATGGAGAACAGCGATAGATGGACGGACGCTGAAGTGCAGGCACTTGTAGCAAATGTAGCACTGCCAGTTGTCGTTGGAGATTCTTAGTCCTCCTTTCCGTTCTTTCAATTGCTTTACGTCGACTTTCCATGTCCATTATTGTGAAACCCGCGAGACACAACAAAAACACAGCTCCGATCACAGCGTCCTCCATCCTCCTGTTGTTAACGTTGTTTTTCTTTGTTTTCATTGTTGGAACGTCGCTGTCGACCGGTTCCTAGTACACACTGTCGGTGCGAATGAAACCCTTTAAATGGTACTGGGAAATAGTTCGCGCAAAATCGTCCCAGTACTTTAGTACTGTCCATTTAGTTCTGGAACTAAAGCGGTGCGAAAGGCCCTATACATAACCGAGATAATTTCCTACACTATGCTACAAAAAATGCTAACCCCTAAACCTATCCCACACCTGACCCTAACCTTAACCAGTGAAATTGACTGCACGGCGGGATTGGCGCTGAATAGCTGGTAAAGAAAGTTGCAGTTCAGGAGATAAAC